TGATTTAGTAGTTCAGGCATATTCATTTTCATAAGGAATACTATCCCTTTAAAAATCAAAAAGCAAATATATACAGCTACTCCTTTTAGTTCTAATTCTTCATAGATACATGCTGGTTGTCTGGGGTTCTGGATGGAACACAGTAGAGATTGAAGATGGCATTCTCAAGCTCCACAGATTTTTCTAACCCACAAGTAGCCATGCCATATATATATATAGCTTCTGTGCTTTGGAGAATAGCACAAATCTCAGTCCCTGTACTAATTTTGTGCATGCTTCTAACATCACTTTTTTCTTTCTATATTGCCAAGGAAGGTTTCATCTGTTTTATGGAGCAGCCAGGTTTTTTTCTATGAGATTTCTACTGTTTTGGCCACCTGTGCAGCAGGAGTTCTGTAATTCCTCCAGCTTTGGCCATAATGTGCACTGAAAGATGATCAGGTTGGCCTCTAGATAACCCCCTCATCTGAAAGGAAATTTCAGATTTCCAATAAAACATAAGTCAAAGATGGTTTAAGCCTTTAACCTGTTTCTTTCTTTAAGTGCTGCAGGTGCAGCCTTATTTCTCATCTTTTGCGCATACTACCTGAACTATAATTGTTTCTTCTATAGGTACTGAAAAGGTACAAATGCAAGCTAACTCTGAAGTCTCTTGGTTCTTCAGTTTTCTGATTTTTAACATTGCTTATCAATAGTTATTTAAAGAAAAACATTATTGTGTTTAGACAATGGGAACTTGATTTTGCATGAAAATACAATGGCTATTTTAATTTTATAAAGACAAATAATTCTGTATTCTAGAGGCTGATATATTTACATAGAAAAAAATCAGCTTGTCTTCAGAGTTGTGGAGTGTTTGATAAAAAGTAGTGTGTGGATGCTAAGGATAGGGGATTTATGGAGAGAAGGAAAATATTACCTGTGTTTCTACAAAGTAGTATTCAAATCTTCTGGGTTTATTGCAGCTGTCCAATTGGAAAATGGTGTTGTGTTGATAAGAATCATAGTACCATGTCAGACTTAGAGCTTTAGACCATTTTCATTCCGTTCTTGTGTTCATCACAATTTTTTTTACACATTTGACAATGTATCACTG